TTCTTTTGAGCTGTGTGTGTGTGTGTGTGTGTGTGTGTGTGTGTGTGTGTGTGTGTGTGTGTGGGTGAGTGTGCGTATTCCATCATTCCAATACTTCTGCATCTCACAATGTGTCTTTTTAAACATTTTAAACCATCTAAACTAACTTCACCCATTTTCATTTCTATATTGACACTTTATTTTAACACTTCAGTAACTAAAAGTTAACAAAATCTAATATTAAAATTTATTATTATTGTATCAGTCCGGCACCTTGGCAAAATGACCTATTTTCCAGGTGATCTGGTCCATCCTGACCAGAAAATCAGATTATAATTAATACTTTTTTTGTTAAGTTTGCATTTAAGTTGCTTTATTTACATTTTGAGTTTTGATGGTGGTTTTGTTTCATGTTTTGTTCTATTTTATGAATTGGTGTTTTGAAGTTAGGCTGTTTTTGTTTTGTTTCATGTGCATTTTCATCTTTTTGTTTTTATTCCCTTCATTCTGCATTTGACAGTGTCCCTTTTGAAACATTTTAAACCAACTTTACAGAACTTCACTCAAAAGCAACAAAACGTTCATAGAATCAAATATTGAAATGCATTATTACTTACAACTTCATTTCCAAGTGAACTGATGCATCCCGACCAGAAAATTCAGATTATAATTGTCACTTTCAGCCATTCAGTGCAATGACAATTCTCTAAAAATAACACGTTTAATACAGATCCTTCACAGTGATGTTTACATTTGTTTTTGTTCTTTACAGAAGCTCGTCTTCATCATCATCAGCAGCAGCAGCATCAGAAGTCTTCAGCTGAGAAACACTGAAACGGTCAGAAGACGCAACGCAGCGTGCAGCTAATCGCAGCTTTCGACAGACCCGAAACCACAGATATTCAGCATCTGCTCTGAACACCTCACCCTCATTCTCTCTCTCAAGCTCTGCGGTTTTCATTGCAATGACTTTGATTTTGAAATAACCCTGAACTCTCGAGCAACAGCAATGTTTTATGTGTGAATTTACACCATTTAAGAAAGTTAATGTCAACGGGTGAGGTAAATCTTGGCAATTCCGTCATACTACAGCTGAGGTTAAAAGTTTACATCCCCCTTTCAGAATCTGCAAAATGTTAATTATTTTACCAAAATAAGAGGGATCATACAAAATGCATGTTATTGTTTATTTAGTACTGACCTGAATAAGATATTTCACATAAAAGATGTTTACATATAGTCCACAAGAGAAAATAATAGTTGAATCTTGATCTTTAAATTCAAAAAGTTTTCACCCCCCAGCCCTTAATGCATGGTTTTTCCTCTCAAAATCATACAGTCATTGTTGGAAAGAGTTGAAATACACAAAAATGCTGGAAAACCAAAGAATTTGTGGGAGCTGAAGGGTTTTTCTCAAGAACAGCAGGCAGTTTAACTGTTCAGGACAAACAAGGGACTCATGAACAACTATCACTAAACAAAAAAAACAGCTGTGGATCATTCAGCTAACAACACAGTATTAAGAATAAAAAATGAATGGGGCATTTTTTTCTCTTGTGGACTGTGTGTAAACGTCTTTTATGTGAAGTATCTTATTCAGGGCAGTACTAAATAAACAATAACATGCATTTTGTATGATCCATCTTATTTTGGTAAAATAATTAACATTTTGCAGATTCTGAACCTCAACCTGACCTCAACCGTATATGAAATCGAGTTACATTTTAATGGACGAATATGTGATTCAGCTGTGGAGAAACTGCAGTTTATCAGTTTGACATCAAATAACATTCAGCATTAACTGAGAGCAAAGGCTGATCCAATGATGCATGTCAAACCTTCACTTAATTCAGTCATTATTTGCTCGCTTTCATGTCATTGCAAAATCATATGCTGTTCATTTCTGAAGAATCTTAATGCAGCTAAGAGATGAGCTCTTGTTGAATGGAAAAGCATTTCCCAAAAGCATCGTAAGCCTAATTAGATTGCAGAGATCGTTGGTGCCAATGTTTTTTGACGATCTACTAAGGCTTATGATGCTTTTGGGAAATGCTTAGCTCATAACTCAAAACAACATGAGTGTGATTAAATAATTTCATTTTTGGTTGAACGATTGGGCATAAACGATCCAATTGTTGCCTCTTATTAATATGTTAGCAATATTTCATTAAAGATTAACAGAGAGTGTTTTGTTTATTAATGATTACATACGCGTGTTTTCTGATAAAATTATGTAAACTGTTTATGTTCTTGGCTGTAGAGATATTGTTGTGGCAGTCAGTGGATGTTGATGTTGATATTTATTTATGTGTGTATTGCAACGCTTCATTCGTATGTGTGTGTGTGTGTATTTTTTCCATGTATTAGCAAGGCAGACAACTTCTTGTAAAGACAATGTAAAAAAGTGAATTGTACATATAGTCATATGTTCCGTTATTTCCCTGGATAGAACCTGTACATACTTTTAAATAATAAAATAAACCCTCTACTCCTTCATCTGTAGTCCTGTGTTTATGGAAAACATTTGCAGTGATGAACCTCAGATCTGTGAGAAGGAAAATTGTTCTGTTGAACACTATAAAAGCAATCAACATCATTTAAAAAATATATGAAATACTTATTTACTTGCATGTAATTTGACTGTTAACCCATTAGAAAACGATGGACATGTGAAGAAATTCTTGAAATATTAACTTGATAGCCAAAGGGGTTTGGTTGATAAATAAAAGATTGAGAATTGCTGATTTGACTGTTGAAACTGCTGCCTTTTTTGACCTTCGCCATGACTCTGAGTGAGTCTTTACATTGGATGTTATTATTCAGGTAAGTTTGATTTACTTCCTTGTCAAGATTCAAGTAGTTATAAGAGAAACTAATCTTTTCGAAACTTTGAAGCAGTTGAACCAAATGCTTAGCATAATGATTCACTGTTGATAACTGTTCGTTGTTTGCTGGTGATAACTGGTGTTAATAAGCCCAAACCTTATTATACAAATGTGTCAATAAATGTCTATAAATGTACAAAACTAAGGTAAAAATCACACGGTTAACACGTTAAAGGGGTCATATGATGCGATTTCAAGTTTCATCACAGTGGATTCAGCTGTCTTAACCGTGGCTTGTGTACTGCAAACACATACCAGTTTCATCACTGTGTCTGTCACGCGACTCTGTTCCCCTTTTGGGCTTGGTCTTTACTTGTAAAATTTACATTTATTTTGAAAGATGAAGCTCGCGATTATGGTAAGGGGCGTTACATTTCCGACGAGTGCTTGCGGTGTTCGGCCAATCACAATGCACTGGGTCAGCTGGCCAATCAGAGCAGACTGCGCTTGTCGGAAGGAGGGACTTTGTAGAAAACGAAGCGTTTGAGAGAGGTGGGGCATAGAGGACCTACAATAATGTACAGTATTTGAAAAATAATGTGTTTTTTGAACATTAAAGCATGTCAACATATTCTGTTACACCAAATACACAAAATAATGATCTTTAAAAAAGCATCATATGACCCCTTTAACAGTAATTTCAAAACCGTTATGACATAACAAAAATAAACCTGAAATATTGTCTGATGTACTCCGTATTGCTTGTTCGGAAAAGTGACATGATGAGAAACTAACCTTTTCAAAGCTTTGAATCAATTGATCCTTTGCAGGGTTTGATTGACAGGCGATCTGACCAATCATAGCTGAATCTGCCATGTTGTCCAACAAACCAGACAGGAGAGTAGATTTATATCGTGTACTTACATTTGAAAAATGGTGTGTATTGACTTCTTTCCGTAGTTGAAACAACATCTGATGTTCATTCATGTTTATTTTGTGCTATAACTAGTAAAGAGGAAGAGATGATCAGTTCACGATGTATTTTTCACTATGTGAGATGGCTTGCCGGACATAGCAATGGTAATGAAGGGGGGCGGGTCTTATACTAACTGCTTCGTAAAATGATTCACTTTTTCGAAGTGCACAAAACTCCACACGCTGGTGACGTCGAACACTGTGTAAATGCAACAAAAACTCAGGCCAAAGCATGCATAAAAATGCTTTTACAAACTTAAAGTATAATATATTAAAAGCTTCACGAAGCAGTGCTTCTAAAGCCCCCATCACTAGTTTGAAAAATAATTCGCAAAGGTTTCAAAGCTTTACGAGGCAGCGTTTTGCAAGTGCACATCTCTAATTGTACAGTATTTGAGCACTGAAGGCTGTGGGAGTCCTGAACGCCAGTGTTGTGTTTTTCCTTTCTGAAAATGTTGGCAGCTCTTTTTACACCAGAAACAAGGCTGAAGTCCAGTTATTTCAGTCCATTATCCAGTGACCTTCTGTCCCTGTTCTCTTCATCCTTCAGTGATGTTCTTTCACTATGTTTATGTACAGGTCTATTATGTCACAATCGATTAGTTCCTGACTGTCTATGTGAGTTAATCCTCTTGAGCTCAGCTCTGCTTTCTTTCTCTCAGGGTCAAAACCAGAATCTTCTATTCAGTCCTGCTTTCCTACAGATGTCATGCCGCTCGTCTGAAGCCTTCAAAACGTCTTAAAAGCAACAAAGGACAGTGACAATCGACAGTGTTTTGTGGCTCCTTCTTTTAAATGCTCTAAAAAGAAAATCTGATAATGCATTATAATGTTTTCATATAATCAAGGGTTTTCATGCAAGCATGTTTTAATGCACTGATTGAGATTCCTCTGGTGTTTTGATCTTGTGTCGTTGTCGTCGTTTAGCAGGAGGGTTTGAGGACTGACAGCGTCTCACATGTCTCGTTTTCTCCTCTGAACCGGTTCTGGAGATTAACGCAGTACTCAGCTGCTCTTTTCTGTTCGCTGCAGGTCTCATGCGACCTTCACTGTGTGCTTTTCATCTCGATGCATGTGATTTACATTCTTTGCTGTGGTGGTTAAGTCTTGCTTACATAAAGAGTATTAATTTTTGTTTTAGTTTGGTTTTTGTTTGCTTTATTTACATTTGTAGTGTTTTTATGGTGGTTTTGTTTGATGTTTTGTACTATTTGATTTATTTCTGAGCATTTAAACATTGTTTTGTTTTGAATTTGTACTGTTTTTGTTTTGTTTTGTTTGTATTTTCATGTTGTTTTGTTTTTTATTCTATCATTCCAATACTTCTGCATCCCACAGTGTCCCTTTCTGATATTTTCAAACCAATATTCACAACTTTAATTTTCACATTGGCTCGTTTGTATTTTTGTCTTTTGTTTTCGAGCCCATCGTTCCAATACTTCTGGATTCTACAATGTCCCTTTTTAATAATTTTAAACCATCTAAATCAACTTTAACCTTTTAAATGTTTACATGGGCACTGTTTTGAAATCAATCCGTTAAACGACTGTTGATGTGCCTACAATCTTAAAAATAAAGTTTTTTCACTAGCATTTAATTTTACATCCATGGAATCTTTCCATTGCACAAGAGGTTTCTTCTTTATAGTGGAAACATAGTTCTTCGTATTAAGAAAATAATGATTCTTTTTAAGAACTGTTAATTGAAATGTGCTTTGAAGAACCAAAAATGGTTCTTCTGTGGTATCGTTTTGACAAAACACTCTTTTGGGACCTGTATTTGTTGGTTTTGTTGCATGATTTGTTCTGCTTTATTTATTTGTGAATATTTAAATATTTAGTGTTTTGAATGTAGAATTTAGTTTTTTTTTTGTCTTGTTTTGTTTATGATCCAATCATTCCAGTACTTCTGCATCCCTTTTTAATAATTTCAAACCATCTAAACCAACTTTAAATGTTTACATTTTCTATATTGGCACTTCTTCGAAGTCAAATAGTAAATGATCTGTTGACGTTCTTAAGGTGGAACGATTATCTTATCATCCATCAAAACGTTCCATTGGACAAATGGTTCTTTATATTGGAAAACAGTTTCTTCAGACTATTAAAATGTTCTTCACACTAATTAAAAAATGTTGTTTTGTTTCAAAAACTGTTCACTGAAAGGTTCTTTTGGAAACCAAAAATGGCTCTTCTGTGGCATCGTTGTGAAAACAGCCTTTATGTGTAGAAGCGCGTTGCCAAATCCTACCATTTTCCATTTTGTCCCTTTCCTCTTTTATTAGATATTGCAGGCTGGCAGGAGACCCCGTGACCTTGCTCAGGGCTCTGGGGTGTTTCTGGTTA